CCTATCAAATTCAGTAAACTCTTCCAAATCAATATCTCATGCATAAGAGGCAAGTTCAGTGCCACTGAGGTATATCTCCAGCCCTGTTACAATTTATTTGAAACAGGGCATCAATAAGTTGTTCACCTTGGCCTCAAACTCGTGCGTGATACTCCTGTTTTAGCCTCCTGAATAACTGGGATTACAGATGTATGACAGACAGCATTCCTGCTTTAGGACAGCTATGGGAAAAGATTCTATCATTAAACATATAGCAAATGGTGAGCAGTGATTTCAATCTAAGTAGTCTGGCTCCTAGGCTCAGGTTGTATAATGAGCTAAACTGTACTGAAATCATAGTCTTTTCTCCAAATTTATCTTTTCTTCCTTTATAAAACAGTGGCTTGCTTAGTTGGGATGTGGCTCCTTCAGAGCACCTTCATACCCAACACTGCAAAAACAGAATGTAAGCACTTCATTTACTGTTAAGTTTGAAAATCAAATAAACTTTTTATAGTTACTGTAAAATGGATTGGGGGGGTGCTTAAAAGTATAGGGCTTCAAATTCCTGAATCTTAAAAAGTCTAGGCATTTTCAAGTGGTGAACTTTCCTAGCTTAACTTTACATATCTTTGTTTTTATTTTTGAGACAGGGTCTTGCTAGTAGTCCAGGCTGGCCTTGAACTAACTATGTAGCCCAGGCTGACCTCAGACTCATACTGATTCTCCTGCATCAGCTTCACCCCTGGTGCTGGCAGTGTAAATGTGTGCTACTGAGCCAGCTCTGAGTTAAATGCAATAGATTGCCTTCCTTTTTATACATCTTTTCCCATAATGATTTAGAGAGACTGTCTTCAAATCAATACTAATATTTCAAAAATATATTTGGCCATTTTCTAACTAGTTGGATATGCATCTATTGTACAATAAGTTATTTCACATTTTCAAGTAAGAAAAACACTGAATGTGAAAAATAAAGACATGACTTTACTAACTGGATACAGTGAGAATCTGCTGTAAGTATTTTTCTGAGAAAGGGCACCACACTCTTATTCAATAAACAAAATCATCCTTACAATTTATAAGACATTTTTCATTTTTATCAGTTTTGGGTATTGAACCCAGGGCCTAGAGCAACTTAGCTGCTTGCAGTTCAAGGATTGAATGCCAGAACAAACTACATCCCCAGCTTTATGCCATGAATTTATAGAGAATAAGTTCCAGCAGCTCAGGCTTCTTCCCATTGGTTCTCAAAGAATATGCTTTGGGTAGGACAGGTTGGCACTTCAGTTGAACCTAAATTGGGATGGAACCCTTCACATGTTTCAGGAAGCTACCTTGAATGCTTTTTGGTTTTTGTTTTTGAGACAGAGTTTCACTGTGTAATTTAGCCTGGCCTTGAACTTGCTATGTAGCTTAAACTGACCTTGAACTTATGTTGCTGCTAGTTTATCTTGACTTCTAGAGTATTTAATGTACACATTAATTCTCTTGGCAATAATCTAACCCTGAACTTAGTTGTTTACAGTGCCCAAAGAATGCTGTGTAGGCTTATTATTTTTTTTTTTTTAGACTTATATTTTTTGTCATGTTAACATTTGTGTGGCATTTCTTTTGGAATAGCAACCCTTTTTGTAGACCGTATATATGTGGCCAAATGAACAATTCTGTTTTCTGAAATGCTTAGAGTACCTTGTTTTAGTAATTTTTCTCATTGTTGGGACAAAATACTCAATACCACATGTTAAAAGAAGAAAGGTTTATTTTAGCTCACAGTCTATATAGTGGTATCAGTTCATAGTCAGCTGGCTTCAAGGCAGGGTGGCATGTGCTGGCAGAGGAACATCACAGAAGAGAAACAGTTCATGGCATAGCAGACAGGTAAACACCAGGCCTTCCTTCTTTCCCTGTGTATTACATGCAGGCTACAAGCCTGTTGCTGGTGCCACCTACACCCAGGGTGGGCCTTCCCATTATCATACCACAAGCTGTGCTGAACCATTCAGTGGACTAATCTTGTATGACATACCCATGATCCAGTCACTTCCCAAATTCCCCACCTACGAGTGCATGAGGCTTTGCAGGGGGACATCTGCATGTAAACCAAAACATATACTGGATTATTCTCCTCTTTCTCTTTGTCATTTTGGTGAATTACTGGAAGATGATGGTTTGGGCCAAAAGTAGAATTTTATTTCTATATTCTAATGGGCTAAAGAGAATTATAAAGGAAGAGGTAAAGGAAAGACTAGAATAGGGGCTCCCAAACTTTATGTATCATAGTTATCTGGAAGGCTTTGAAAACAGGATCAGGTACCCACAGAGTTTTGATTCTATAAGTCTGAGATTATTTGCCTTTCTACAAATTCAGATGATGCATGTGACTCACAGTAAGCTCTCAGTTCTGAGAGAGTTAAATGATTAGCAACAGGGCAAAAATAAAGAAAGTCTTAAAGTTTAATAAGAATTACAGTTGCTCTTTTCCTTGGGGGTAAAGTTTGCAAGGTCTTTAGTTTTTTTGTGTGTGTGCAAATGTATTTTATTCTGTTCTTTTATGATGCTGAGGGCTAAACCTAGGGCTTCTTAACGTACTAGGCACTCAACCACTCACTACACACTTGGTAGCTTTTGAAATGAAAAGTAGCTAATTCTTACCTTTGTAAAGTAGTATTCAGAATTGCAACTGATTTAATATTAAGATATAATAGCCAGCCATTGTGGCTTACCTCTATAATCCCAATACTCACACTGATTTTGAGGCCAGCCTGAACTACATAGTGAGACCCTGTTTCAAAAAAAAGCAAAAAAGGGCCAGCAATATAGCTCAGCAGCATAAGCACCTGCTTGGAAGCACAAAATCCTGAGTTTGATCCCTGGTACCACACACACACACACACACACACACACACAGATATGTAATAATTTGGATTAAAGTACATTTATGTTATATTTACTCAAATGCAAATGCCATGGCATTGGTAAAAAGTTCAGATTTGAGAATATTTGATTTTTTTTTTTTCTTTACTGGCTTTGTTTTAAATCTAAGGAGTGACATGATGTAATAGCAGAATCAAGATCATATCTTGCCCAATGTGCAAAAGAAAAACAAGAGTCAAAGTACTTCCATTGGAAATTAAGTTAACTTTCTGTTCAACTTCAAAAAGTAAGAAACAAAGCTGTGCATAAAAAAAAATCTTATAAAAGCTCTTTATGCTTATATTATGTGATTATACTGGGGCTGTCTCTTGTGTTTTTGTTTTTTGAGACAGTCTTGTTGTGTAGTTGGGAGAATTCACTATGTAGTTGGGGGTAGCCTCAAACTTGAAGCAATCCTCATGTCTCAGCCTCTTACTGGAATTATAGGCATGTACCACTATGCCTTATTTCCTGTAGATTCTTTTATGTCCATGTGGTGGCTCTCCAGAAGAAAACTTGTGGCAACTTTTTCAAGATCTGAGATAAACTGTGATTAAGACCATCTTTGTAGATCTAGTTTCCCAATTACCATAATCTGAGAGATGGGATACGGTGGCCAATCTAAGATTTACTCTTCCAGAAATTGAGGATGAAGCTAGGGCTAACTGCCTAAACCACAGGTGTGGTGGATATTGGAGGAATAATGATTTCTCATAGAAAGGATGGGATTCTGTTTGTTCCTAGAAAAAAGGAAATTTGTCATATATTAAATGGCAGATTTCTACTATCCCTTACATGCTAAGATTTTTGAAAAATTTTAAACCAGTCATCTGTTTCCTGTTTCTTAAAAAGTGGGGAGAGGGGCCGGGGAGATGGCTCAGTGGAGTAAGTACTTCCCTGGCAAGCACAAGTGTCTGAGTTCAATCCCCGGTTCCAAAAAAAAAAAAAAAAAAGTGGGGAGGGCCTGACATGGTACCATGTCTGTAGTCCCAGTACTCAAAAGGCTAATGAAGGAGGATCACCATGAGCTCTAATGAATGATGAAATGAAAACTCTGAACTTCACATATTTCTGTGCTTACCACTCTTGAAAGAATTATCAGTTCTTATAAAAGTATAAAGTAGGTATGGTGGTGATGCACATCTATAATCCCAGCATTCAGAGGCTGTGGCAGGAAGATCACTACAGTTTCTTGAGGCCAGCCTGGGCAATATAGTGTGACCTTGTCACAAACAAAAAACAAAGCATAAGTATAAGTATAGTGAGGTGTAATGGTGCATCCCTGTGATCCCAGCACTTTAGAGGCCAAGGCAGGAGGATCCAAGTTTAAGCTTAGTCTGGGCAACTTAATGGAGACCTTGTCTCATATTTTTTAAAAGGGCTGGGAATGTAGCTTAGGATGGACCTGAGTTCAATCCCAGTTATAGGCAAAAGAAGAAGAAAATAATAAAAGCATCTTGAGGGATATCTCTTTGAACTCTGGTTCACTGTTGAGAATACAGAATTGCTAGAAAGATGGGAGAGTATACTTTGAAATAAAATTCTTCCAAAAAAGAAAAAAAGGGCTGGGGAGATGGCTCAGTGGAATAAGCGCTTCCCTGGCAAGCGCAAGGGCCTGAGTTCAATCTCTGGTTCCGCCAAAAAAAAATTTTTTTTTTAAAATAAATAAAAATTCTTTTTTTTTTTTTATAAAGTTCTGTAAACAAGATTCTATTGGGAAAAATAAGGAAAAACAAGAAATTCCTCTACCAAGATTATATTGCTTGCTTTTTTTTTAATACAGGGTCTCGCTATGCAGTTTGGACTTGTAGTGATCCTTCTGTCTCAGCCTTCCTAGTGCTGAGGTTACAGGCACTGGTTCCCGGGGCCGGCACAGTGCACCAAGGGTTCTGGGGCTGGCACAGCATGTGGTACCAGGGACTTTGCACTTGCCAGGCAGGCACTTGCCAGGCAGGCACTTATGCTGCCAAGCTTTCTTTCCTGCCCTATATTGGTTTCATTAGTCTCTTCATGTAAGACAGAGGTTCTATAACAGTATATCAGTAACTTTAGTGTAGAGGAGGCTGAGATTCTAAAAATAAATATAATTTTCTCTCAATTTACAGAAGTTGCTGGGTGTGTTTTGCCACTGATGAAGATGATCGAACAGCTGAATGGGTGAGACCATGCAGGTGCAGAGGATCTACCAAATGGGTT